CCAATACTGAGAGAATATTGACCGGCAATAGAGCATTTTGATTGGTTGATTTTTAGTTATTGGCCCTCTGACTTCCCGAGTCGTGTAACAAATGCCGTTACTTGACCTCATCGGCTGACTATATACCAAAACACTTGCCGACTGGAGATAACGGCGACCCAAGCGTAACCCATGTTTGCGCGGCTTCTTCAAAGACTGACTACTCTGCCTTACAATTGATGGGAAGGTTTCATGATGTAGTGCAGAATTTTGATTGTAAAGTGGAGGATGAAATCATCATTGCCGCGTAGATTACGAAGTAGGATCGTTATGACGTCGGCTGAAAGATTCTGAAAATATCTTTGTCGCCCATTGACCTGCGGAAAAGTTGGCCCTTTTTATTTGATCACTGAGTGTAACTGGCGAGTCTCTATATTAAACCCATGCAGGTAAAGCAGCTTCGTTAGCGGAAAACTAAGACGAAAAAGAAAAAAATATCGGCACTTTTTAGGGAACAAGTCTATTTAGGTGTACATAGCGGAGCCATGTTGAGCCAGTCTGTGCTTTTTTTTTTCTCCAGTTTTATCCCTGTAAAAACCGTCTCCTGCATCTATTAGTTAATTTGGTTAGGCAGGGAACGTTAAAGAACCCACTCACGAGATTACTGTGATGTGGTCTGGACTGTTTACTGGGAATTGGGGGTAGGGGGCATCTGTTAGATTCGCCTTTCATTGATCGTAAACTGCTTAGCAGTCTGGTAAAGTCCCCCTCACTGTGTTGTAAAGCGCCATGAGCTCAGGATATGAGCGCAATATAAATAAAAGTTATTATTATTATTATTATTATTATTATTATTATTATTATTATTATTATTATTATTATTATTATTTTAAAACAGTTCCATCTCGAATATTCAAATAATGGACTCGCGAGTAACGTCTCACCTATCTTGTTTCGTTTTATGTCTGAGGGTTTTATCGTGTTATCAATCTATGCCAGACAAGAATATTTCTCATAGCATCGATCGATCAAGTGGTTTTGAAATTGTTAGCGAGTAAGTACAAAAGACCGCAATTCAAAACAAGCGGCCGTTTAACAGGCTGATAACGTCTGTGAATTTTTCTGGCATACTCCTCAATTGGTCTACCAACGCAATCGCTAATAAGTGCTCATAAAGTTATGTAGAAAAATTACCAAAATAACGAAGAAAGACTTGCAATTATTCCAAAACCGTAGAGGTTTCGAGACAGGAAAGACAAAAAGTGTCCTCCAAAGACTCAGCCTCAATTCTGTTCTGAACTTGTAAGCACGACTGTTTCAAATTTCATCCGATTTTCGGCGCTAACTGTTCGTGATCTTGCTAACAAATGTTGGTGCCTGTCGATCGATTGGTGATGGGAGAAGCTCTATCCATGATGAGCAACCATCGTGCAAATGTGTCCCTTAAAGGTTGGCATATCAACAATTGTTAGGGGAAGACAAAAAGCTTTCAAAGAGTGTTCCATACTTCTCTGAGGTCAACAATCGTATATTCAAAGAACGGCGAGCGTTGACACGCGGTTAATTACCCAAAACTGTCCATGTTAACGAGAATCGCTTGTCTTTGAACATCGAAGACGTGACTAGACACTCTATAGATATGACGTTTATGAAGGCAGAACCAAAAACTTGATTCACCAAGCTAGTAAACCCTAGTTGCTGAACAGCAGCCCGGCATTGCAAACAAGATTTTACTTTCCAGAACAGAACAGAACAGAAAAACTACTTCTTCATGAACCTTTAACCTTTTAACAATTTACTGAACCAAAACTTTCCCACTGACCTGTTTTGCCGACTCCTTCGTTCCCAAGAAGGGCAATTTTATATACTCTCTCAGTCATGGTGTGCAACAGTGCTTTGTGGTGAAATATTCCTAGACACACAACTTGAAAGAGGTGTAGATTGTTCAGCTCAGAAGTTCCGCTCGCCAGACAAATAGTGTAATCCAATCAATAATAACCTCTTCTCGTGACTTTTTCTCATAAAGCTTTCTTCGTGCAACTGCTGTTGAAAGAAGTGAAGCGTTTAGAACTTTCTATATTTTTCCCTCGCTGCACGTATCACGTCAACTATATCTAGGGTGCATCAAAACAAGCACAAGACAGCAAACAAACTTTTAACAGGAAAAGCGGTTTATGGCGAGCGACAAACAAGATAAACAAGATAGCGAAATTCCCTGAACAATGAAGATGACGGATTTATCGAGTTACATGTCAGTTTATCAAGTACTTTAAAGCAATGCGATCATCTGTTACCGGTTGGAATTACTTTAAGATTTGTAGTTTCCGAATCCGGAATGCCACCCCTTTCCTAGATCCAGCAACACTAGCTGAAAAATACCAACATCTATAGGAATGGGGAAAAAAAGGCAGTCTTTAAGACCATTCATAACCGTAAACAAAAGTTTTGGGCCGTAATGACGGGTTGGAATCGAGGAATGTATAATGAGTATTGTTGAAAGAAGAGATTCCCATTCGAATTATCCGCCAATTTGACTGGCATTGGCCACTTGGTCGGACTTGAAAGAGTTATTGGATTTCAGTTTCCATTGCGAGATAAAAATGGGTTGCTCAAAAAGGGAAAAAAACAAAGCTTGTACAGTGTTCTCCAAAACCACCGGCGGCCGGCGAGTTATTCCAGTTTCTCGTTTCAGAAGCGATGAAGCCCTAGCCACTTTAATCAGACAAAAATACAAAAATACCTGTCTTCATATAAATTTGAACCTCGCTGTTTTTTAATGGCTATCTTTAGAAAAAGCTTTGAACAACACGTACACCTGTGATACACATTAAGCTTGTAACGAAATCTGCCTGAGCAAACATTTTAGCAAACGGTTGGTCTCAAAAATCGGTTCTTTCAAATTAATTTCCCAGCTGATCTCAACACAAATTGGTTCGTTCAGTATTTACTAACCGTCGAGGGATGATGAAGTCATTGGTGATAAAGACAATTTTAAAAAAAGGAACAAAAATTTAAGTAATTTAAAAATTAAAAATTTAATTCCAGTACTGCTTGGATCCGCGCACGTTTTACTAGGCAAATTTGACATGTACAACAGTCAATTAACTGTTGCTAGCTAACGAGGTAATTGGAAATATTGGCAATTACAAAAAAGGAACAAAAATTAAAGTTATTAAGTTCCATAACAACTTGGATTCAAGCACTTTTTGAGGGGAAATCACCAGAAGGCATTGAGATTACCAGCTATTTTACGCACAGATTGGCACGTACAACAAGTAATAAGCTCCATTACTATTTGGGTCCAAGCACGTTTTCGAGGGCAATTCACCAAAGGGAAATTAAAGTTATATAATGATTTCAGCACATATTGACATGTACAATAGCCAATTAACCGTTGATAGATTATGAAGTAATTGGAAATTTAGGCAATTACAAAAAAGGAACAAAAATTAAAGTAATTAAGTTCCATAACAACTTGAATTCAAGCACATTATTGTACTTGGGAAGTCAACAGAAGGCAATCGAGTTTATCAGTTGATATCAGCATATTTTGTCATGTAAAACGGTCAATTAACTGCTTGTTGATTGATGATTAAGTCATTGGAGATATAGGGAATTTTCAAATAATAACAAACATTAAAGTAATAAGTTCCATTACTTCTTGGATCCAGGCATGTTTTCGTGGGCAAGTCACCAGCAGGAATTTGAGTTTACCATCTGATTTCAGCACAGATTAGCATGCATAAAAATCAACTAACTGTTGATAAGTGATTAGGTTATTGGAAGTAAAAGGAATTACAAAGGATAAAAAACACAAAATTAATCTCTATTTCTACTTAGATCCAAGCACGAGTTAGCAGGCAAATCAGCGGAGGGAAATTGAGTTTCAGTAGATATTGGTTTGTACGGGATTCAATTAACTGTTGATGGATGATGAATTCATTGAAGATATTGGCGATTAGAAAAAAATTAAAGTAATTAATTTCCATTACAACTTGTGTCCATGCATGGTTAGCGGGTGGCTCACGGAATGAAAATATCGTATCGATTTCAAGGCTAATAAAATATGTACCCCTCGTGATAGATCAACTTTGAGGCAAATTAGAGCACCGTTCGATTGAGCTTCGCTATACCAAAGCCAAAGTAATCACTTGCTCGAATCAAAATGAAGGTATTTATTAAAAAGAGCCAACCCGAGGAAGCAATCAAAGGAAGCAAAAGCAAAGAAGCGCGGGGAAAAGCACGTGACGCGATTGGTTACACTTTTAGCATGCACATCCTATCTGTTGACACAGGGGCGGTGTCTTCATTGATGCAATGGGTCTGAAAGAATCTTTAATTCGCGTCAAAAAAGAAAATTTCCATCAAAGATGGATCTCGGAGACCAAATAGTAATTCAATCGTCTCATAGAAAGGGCTTATGTCCGGTGGACAACCAAGATTCCGGAAATTGTACTACACAGGGAAGCAGTGTTTGCCATCTCGGTCAAAATATGTCAAACAAGCCATACAACGGATGAAACCCAGAACTATACGTTCACGAGGGAGCTAGACAAATTGTTATATTATACAAAACGCAGCCATGAAGTTAAATTTGAGACAACTCAAACAAACCAATGAGCTGCAGGGTACTAGAATTGAACCTGGGACCGGCAGATTGGAACACCGCTTTCTATATTTTTCATCTGTGCTCAATTGTTGTCTCTTCTGATTTCCACAATAAGAGGATCCTTTCATGTTTTGCCAATTTCAGGAACGAACGAACGAAAGAGCGAAGGAGCGAAGGAACGTCACCAAGGAACGTCAGGAAACAAGAAATAACGAAGGAACAGAGGAACCTGAAAAGAACGTATGCGAGTAACATGAAGCTTGCTAATCATAAAAAACAAAAATAAAGAGGGATCACCTGATAATATTAACTTACCCTAAAATCGTTAGAAAGTTTCCCTTGACTCATATAAATCTCTTTAATTTGAGGATCGTAAAATTGATTCTTTCTGAGAGTTTTTGCCCTTCTCTGTTTCTGTATTTTCTTCAAGGACGCCGTTATCAGTGAGCTTTAGGATGTCATAGATGTCCAACGCTTCTCCTGTGAGAGGAACAAAGTAATTGCTAAATCAAATAATTTGGATATATCAACAAAGTTGAAATGGTAAATTGGTCACCGTAACGATTGTATCGTTACGGTGGCCAATTTACCATTTCAACTTTGTTGATATATCCAAATTATTTCGTTACCCCCACATCACATCAGGAATGTCTATTGCGTAAATTTGGAGTTTGAAATTGATTGAAAGGACGAAAAAATTAATGGTAGACTCATCTGGATGTGGATTGGTTTGCTCATCTCACGCACAGTTGTTAAAAAGAACCGCTCCCTTCTGCAGTTGTTCCCATTGTAGCAAGCTGTTGAATTACGCCTGAAGATCTCTTCCACTTGCCAGCAACCTTAGACTGAATTTCGACCATGAGGAATCTCGCAAACAGCATTGTTGTATTTTGTGCATTCTTCTGTGCGGGTAAGTTAATTTCACCTAGGTTTCGTGCGACAGTCACTTCTTAAGATGCATCCAGTTGTAACATATGAAACATCAGAGTTGAATACTGGGCGATACACGTATCATGTTTGTGACAGCAGGTTGTTCAGCATTTGCAATTAATCTTAATTCCCGGCTCCACCATTACAAACTGAACCCTGTCAGTAGTATAGGACTTGGGGCTCTAAAACCAAAACGCTAAAAATGGTAAAAAATCAAGCTTTACCAAAGCAATTTATATCATTCTTCAACCGATTCG